TTCGATTATTTAAGTTAGTACAACTTATAAGAAACCACACTTTATTATATATATATATATATATATATATATATATATATATAAAGGATGGGGTTNCTACGAGTCGGCCGACTCCTATATACATATGCTGGCCCCCATTAAAATTCATTTTAGATGATTTTTTTTTCTAACTTTATTTGTAGATTCATTATCTAAGCCAAGATGATCATAAATATGAAAAGAAAAAAAAGCTTTTAAAATTAAAAATATAATATTTTAGTAGTTTGTTAATGCATTGTCCATATCTTATTTATGGACCATACACTTTAGATGACATCCATCTTTAGGATGGACGTTTGCATGTCAGGGCTCTTGCGCCCACTGACTCATCAAATAATTTTTCCATTATAAATGATAAAGTTTTTATAGGGCCTAGGCTTTATGATAACAAAATAAATACTCACCTCAAATTCTCATATGGAAAGCATTTTAGACATAAAAAATCTCTATGATGGCTCTAAAATGAATTTCTAATACCGACAATTAAATTTGAAACTAAAAAATGGTACAGATCTTGTGGATATGTGAACACTTATTTTTAGGAAAAAATAGACGGTCTAGATGATTTGTTGCAATAGACACTATTTTAGAATTTAAAATCCTAAATTGTTTTCCTAACCATAATGTTCAACCTGAGATGATCAATTTAAATGTTTTCCAACTCTTGAATTGCAATTTTTGATGAGTTATAAGGTGAGGCTGTACTTATTTTGATAGGGCTGCAGCCCTATCAAACTATTTTCCATATATTAAGTATTCTTCTCTCTCTCTCAACTTTTGAATGGCAATGGAATTAAATTTTTTTTTTTTTTGATAAGAATGGAATTAAAATTTTCTTATAGGCAAGCACGAGAGACTCTCTCTCCCTCCCCCTTTCTCTCTCTCAGAGTTTGAAGGTCGAATCTGAAAATTATTTTAACAAACATTAGTCACTTCTTTAGACAATTTACACTATACACTCACTGATTAAATGAAATATTAGAAACAAGCCAAACGATCATATGCTTTCGCAGTTACATAACCTCAATCGTTCCTACGCGTAAAACAGTGATTCAAAAATAAAATCAAAATTGCCAGTGACACACACGAGGAAATGGGAGATTTTAGTTTGAATTCTCCTTTTTTTTTTTTTTTTCTAATGGAAATATATGACAAGCTTATTTACCTTTGGTAGAAGAAGTCGTAATCATTGTTAATGTTAGATATAAAATCAGGTAGTTGAAGGTGTATCATCTAACAGGCACGAAATCCAAATTAAAATTTTTCGAATATTGCACACTTCAATCTGCCAGATTTCATGTCCACTCGTTGAGCAATGTTGTGACCTTGTACTAAAAGGTAAATTATTTTATAGCAATCCCTTTTTAAATTTCGTTGTTAACTATATCTTATTGGACCATTGAGGACTGGGTAGAACCCAATCTAGGAGCATTTTTAGGTCTCACATACCTCATAAAAATAGCATCGTAATCTGATGGTTAGATCTAAGTATTTAGAAGCTCAATTTTTAATTTAAATATAATGACTGTAAAGTGCTTCCCAATTTACCTAGAAACTATTGTGATCCAAAAATGAAAAATCTACGAGTACACTACATTAAAGAGAATATATCCTTCGTCTGCTCTCTCTCCGATTAACTAATCAAGTAATTCCTTTTTCATATTTCAATTGTCGAAATGAAAATCTAGGCATCACATTGTGGCGCTCTGCTACCCAGATGCATGAGTCTACCTTGGTTTTTCATGGATCATTTATCAGAACTCGTTGCAAATGTCTTTATGTATGAAGTCCATGATTTTGAGGCTCAGAAGCCAAAGCCGATCCAAAGACTTGCAACGAATTAAAAATCAAGAGTCCTAAAAAATTTAAGATAGATTATTTTGTCAGGTTTAAAGTTTTTTTCTTCGATTTACAATTGTAGTGATCAAGATTATTGTATGAGACCAATATCTATCTCTTCGATCGATTTTGGAAGGGGTACCGTATTCAAAAAGGTGCACTGCAAGAACTTCCTTCAGAAATTTTACAGAAAGTATTGAACACTTGCATTCACAAGAAAACATTACATTCAGAACAAAACAATGAACAGTAAACAGAGTATCCAATTTTCCTTGCTTGGCATCTTGGGCATATATCAAGCCTCTCTCTCTCTCTCTCTCTCTCTCTAC